TCTATTTCTCATTATAAATACTAAATAGAAGGAAAAAAATGTCAAAGGATTCAGCTTGGAATTATTGTCACCTGCAAAACCCACAAGATAGGAATGCAACAACATGTAATTTTTGTGAAAAAGATATGAAAGGGGGTATTTATAGGGTTAAGCAACACATTGTAGGAGGACATAGAAATGGACAAGCATGTAAAAAGTGTCCTGATCATGTGAAAGAGGAGATTAGAGAATACATGAGCAAGAAGAAAGAAGAAAAGGAATACACAAATTTGTTGCCTGATTTTGATGACATGGATGATCAAGATGAGGATGATGTTGCAATTATTGATGTTAAGGGTAAAAGAGTGGCAAGTGGAACTGGAAGCAATAATATTCAATCAAAAATGCAGAAGCAGAAAGGTCCTATTGATTTGTACTTCACCCCTCCTCCGGAAGTGGCTGTGCAAAATAGAAAAAATGACAAAGGTAAGCAAACAACAATTGACAGTGCTTGCAAGAAAGAACTTAAAAACTGAGCATGCCAACGGTTTGCAAGATGGATGTATGATGCCGAGATATCATTCAATGCCCTTAATTATGGTAGTTTTGCACCAGCTGTTGAAGCTATTGGCCAACATGGTCCAGGAATGAAACCTCCGTCTTATCATGAGGTGAGAGTTCCCCTCCTCAAGAAAGAACTGGAGCATACAGACAATTTAATGCGGGATCATAAGGAGGAATGGGCAAAATACGGATGCACAATTATGGCAGATGGATGGGAGGATAAAAGACAGAAGTGTTTGATTAATTTTCTGGTGAATTGTCCTAAAGGGACAATGTTCATTCAATCTGTCGATGCTTCCTCTTATTCAAAGACCGGTGAAAAAATGTTCGACTTGCTTAACAAGTTCGTGTAGCAAATTGGAGTAACAAATGTGGTTCAAGTAGTCACTGATAGTGCATCTTCTAATGTTGTGGCAGGTATAGATGTCAATATGTACTTGATGTGAAAATTTTAGGTTTATTGCTTCTAGCCTTCTATTAATCCAAATTTTCTTTCTTTACAATAGGGAGAATGTTGGAGGGAAGGCACCGACATTGGTATTGGTCACCTTGTGCTGCACATTGTGTGGACCTGATGTTGGAGGACATTGCTAAGATCCTAAATATAATGATGACCATAAAGAGAGCTATAATGTTAAATGGTTATATTTATAACCATTCGGGTTTGTTAAATATGATGAGGCGTTATACTGGACATACCACTTCATTTATCACGTTATCAAACATCCATCGTCAAAAGGATTGCTTGAGGAAGATGTTCACTTTACAAGAATGGACCTCCAGTAAATGGGAGAAAGAGATACAAGGGAAAAATGTAGCATATATTGTGTTGATGCCTTCATTTTGGACAAGCATTGTGTACTCTCTCAAAGTAGCAAGCCCTCTTGTTCATGTACTTAAGTTGGTTGATGGTGAGAGAAGGCCTCCAATGAGATATATTTATGAGGCTATGGAAAGGGCTAAAGAAGCGATAGCTAAAGCTTTTGGTAGGAATGAGGAGAAGTATAAGGACATCTTTGAGATCATTAATAGAAGGTGGAATATCCAACTCCATCGCCCTTTGCATCCAGCTGGGCATTTCTTAAACCCAGAATATTTTTATAGCAATCCAAATATTGAGCAAGATGAAGAGGTGATGGGTGGTTTATATCAATGCATAGAAAGATTGGTTCCAACCACTGAAGTGCAAGATAAAATTTCTTTAGAGTTGAGTAGATATATGAAAGCTGATGGTTTATTTGGCTCATCAACTACTATTAGACAAAGAAAGTCAAGGGCACCAGATAAACAACTCATTTAATCATTTTTTAGTATATTTGAATTTTAATTTTGTTAATTTTTTACTAATAATATGTAAATAACAGCCGATTGGTGGTCCGCATATGGTTCTACAACTCCTAATTTGCAAAAATTTGCTATTAAAGTGCTTAGCCTCACATGTAGCGCATCTGGGTATGAACGAAATTGGAGTGTATTTAAACATGTAAGTTAGTAGTATTAGTAATTCAATGATAAAAAATTATATTATAAATAGTTATACACTTATACTTATTAATTATTTGAATTAATGCAACTTCATAGCAAGAAGAGGAACCGGCTAACTCAATGTCGATTGAATGATTTGGTTTTCATCAAGTACAATAGAGCACTAAAACAACGATATGATATGCGTGATAGGATCAATCCCATCCTTTTAAATGATATAGATGATAGCAATGAGTGGTTGGTTGGAATAATGGATGAAGATGTAGATGCTGAAAATGAGTTGGTGTTTGAAAATGACTCTTTGACATGGAGTGCAGTTGCTAGAGCTACCGGGGCTGGAGAGTCCAGCCATAATTTAAGATCAAGATCAGCTCCAAGGGTAACAAAGAGGACAACACCTTCATGCTCATCTTCATTACGAATCATAGATGATAACGAGGCAAACTCTGAGGACACAGAAGAGGAAGAAGATGCTGAGGGTTACAAATCTTTTGATGGGGACAATGATGAGACTATGTTGTTTGGTGAAGAGGATGATATTTAGGTCCCTTAAGATTGTTTGGTAACTTTGGTTTTAGGAGTTCTTGTTAAAACTCAAAACTGAAACTGATATTTTGTTGCTTGGTTTATAGATTTGGTAGACTATTAAGTATTGACTATGATACTTTATAGATTTGGTAGGCTACTAAGTATCTTTTGATGGATCTGTTTTGGAGTCAAATGATAGCTTTTGCTTAAGACATCAAGTATAAATTTATAATATATGGTTAATTGGTTTATGTTTTGCTTTTTTTGAATATTTCTTATGAATAAATAGCTTTATTAGTTTAATTGTTCTATTTTTCTAGTTGCTTTATTGATTTAATTGTGATTTAGACTAATTTAGTGTTTTTATTATTGGATGTTCATTGTTTAATTGTGTTATTTTTGTTAAGAATTATTGTTTTAAAATTTTACTTGTGCGCCTCACATCACTCAGGCTCGCGTGCCTCGCCGTGCGCTTCACGCCTAGGCTCCAAGGGACCTTTAGCGCCTCGGTGCCCCATGGGCTTTTAGTAACTATGGACGTGGTTTGTAGAAGAAAAAGGAAACAGGTTAGATGAATATATATATGTGTGTACAAATATATATATATATATATATATATATATATATATATATATATATATATTCTGGAGGAAGTCCTAAAATCAAGGAGGCCATGGCGCCATTAACTCCAAAGCCCAGAAGGAAAGTCTCAAGATGGAAGTTGCCAAAATCATGGAAACGTGGTTTACAGAAGAAAAGGGACGTGGGATATATAACTATGTATATATATTTATATATCAGATATAGCCCATGAAAGAAAAATTGTTGAAGTCTTGGGGCTATGATGTCATGAAACAAAGGCCAGAAAGGAAAGTTCATCCGGAAGGAAGTTACCCAAAGCCGAGGAGAACGTGGTCTGGAAATAACTTCTATATACATGCATGATATATATAGGGAAATGAATTCTGTAAAAAGAAAAGACTAGAAAGAACATGGGACACTTGGCCAAATATAAACATATCAGTTGAAAGTGGTGGTACCTTATATGGTAACTACCACTAAATGGAGAGAATTACAAGAAATCGTGGGTGACAAGATTATGGATCATGAAATCGTGTCTGAAGAGGGGAAAAAGTCTGCGACGGAGAAGGGGGAAGATGGAAGGAAGAAGTTACAATTGCCAAGAGAACATGGGGCACTTGGCATTCCGAAATCTGGCCACGTAGAAATCGCTGGAGTTGCCACATCAAGCTGCTGCATGCATTGAAAGCTCTATAAATAAAGCACTTAGAACTAGTTTGCAAATCCTGTTTAAATCACACTGCCTAACATTACTTCAATTTCTTTATATTCATATATCTTTACATTCATGTAATGCACCTTCAATATGTTTAATTCAAGTCATGCACTTATTATTCCTACTTTCCAGCACTTTACTTTGAAGTTCTGCACTTTCAATACTGTTTTCCTTTCCATGAGCCATAGAATAGTCCAAAAGTCCTTTTTCAAGGCAAAAAAAACCTCCGAAGGTGGTAATTCTAGTCCTTTCTAATCCCTACAATCTCCTACTGAATAATTGTTTGGATATCCACTTTGGAATGACAGCAGTTCCTGGCACGTCCGACATTCACCCTCCTTTCCGCACTTGGAAAGGACCACGGTTTTTAGGAGCCGAACACTCAACTTCATGCTAAAACAGTTAAATTTTATTCCCTTTTGCACAACATATCATCAGCAAAAATTTTAAGATATCTGCCTTACCCCCAAACTTAGTGTGCATATTGTCCTTAATGTGTGAAAACAGATGTTGAGATAGAAAGATATTACCAAATATGCACAACCAGCAAAGAGTAAGAATTATAGTACAGAGGGGCAAAATAGGCATCTCACCCCCAAACTTAGTCCTTTGTACCTGGCAAAACAATCACACTCGACAGCACACATCAGAGTATCAAGCATATGGAGTAAAACAGATATATATCAATAGGCACAAGTAAATATGATAATAATTTATACACATGCTAAGTTTAACGTCGATAGCTCGACTTCATGCTAAGTTTAACGTCGCTAGCTCAACATAAATGTGACTTCTCTAGTCCAAGTAAATAGGATCATGAAGTTCAACGGTCTCCACAGTGCCTTTCTGCACACTACCCTCTATGTAGGGTTTTAGTCTCTGTCCATTGACTTTGGATATGACTCCAGTCTTGGAATTCTATATTTCTATGGCGCGGTAGGGCGTAACAAAAATAACCATGTGTAGACCCTAATGCCCTAAAAATATTATTGAATACGAATAAAGGTAGCCTTTAATATTATTGAATGACTATTAGGAATTCTTTCTTTAGCCGCCTAATTTTGACCCAGCTGCGCCTTCCACACGGTGTCTCCCATCTTATATTAGGTTGAGTCTGTTTATATTATAATTGATCTTTATTTGCATATAATTTATACAAATTATAAATTATAATTTATAATCCCAGCAACTTCTTTCTATGTTCCCAAGTAGAGTCCCAAGGATTGTCTTTGTCTTAATCTTAGTCCTTAAGGGAGGAAAGTTCCCAGCAACTTCTTTCTATGTTCCCAAGTAGAGCATAGAACAAGGAAGGAAATTGCTTGGATGATGCTTACCAATTGTTACATATATAATAAAAGGGGGAGAGACTTTGAAGTACGCAATTTCTCCAATATATAATTCATGAATAATTCAAGATTTCATTTTATTAAAATCATGGTCATCTGAGCATTACGCTTTTCAGTTTTACGCATTTGTTGTAGAATTCAATTCTAATCTCAATCTACATATTTTTTTTATTCATTTTTTAATTTTATTATTTTGAGTTGTCATATTGATATAACTACTGGATGGACTTGAATCAATTCTAATCTCAATCTACATATTTTTTTTATTCATTTTTTAATTTTATTATTTTGAGTTGTCATATTGGTATAACTACTGGATGGTGTTGAATAGTAACATATAATAACACTATTTTACTCACAACATGACCACTTGATTTAAATTTGTGTATATTTGAGCAAAAGATTCGAACCAGTTGCACATTTTGACACTGCATGCACACTCCCGTACACACTTTCCATCCACACGTTTTCTTTCCATTCATCTTGACACCTTTTTGTGAAAAACGCCACAAACAATTATTCGGGCATTAGGAAATCTTTCTTCAGCAGCCTAATTTGACCCACCTACACCTTTTTTGAGTCTTTTTATTTTTCTTTTCTTTTTTCCAGCTAAAAAGGTTTTTGCTTTGATCAATAAAGTTGAGGAAAATTTACCATCAGCTTCCACAAATGTCCATTACCCAGAAAAAAAGCTTGAAGTTTCGTGGAAAGTTCCCACTTTCGCTCTATAAAGTAAAGCAGAGCGTATAGGAAGGAAATGATTCTTGACCAAGCGTTATATTATTTAATAATTGTCCTAATTAATTGTTGATGCATAAATTTTATTTTCGCTATTTCTTGTTAAAATCATTTTTTGACTTATATGATTTGCTATCATAATAGAGAATTGTTGACCATCCAAGTGTTTAAAATGAAAACTGATATACGTACTGATCGATTATAATTGAATTGTAAATTTGCATAGATGACTTGTGAAATTATTACTATATCAAAACTATTGCAATTTATACTCGCTGATTGACATGAAATTAAAATTATGTGAAGTTAGTGTGTATATTTTGAGGCGTTTGAATTGGGACTCATTGCAGGTCCACACATTTTCTTTCCATTCAACCGGACTTTTGTGAAGGACCCCACGAAAGATGACTCCCGTGTGAAATCGGACAACGCTTTTGGAAGACGAAATTAAATCTTTGGAAATCTTTCTTCAGCCTAATATGACCCACCTACCCCTTTTTCACATAGTGTTTGTTGTTTTTTCTTCAGCTAAAAAGGTATTTGCTTTGATCAATAAAGTATCATCAACTTCTCACCATTTACATTCTCTCTCTAAAAGTAAAAGTGCAGTATATAGGAACGAAATTGCTTGGATTTGATTCTTAGCCAACAATTATATAATCACATGTTCCCCCATTCACAAATTAGCAAGCCTCAATGGATGCATTTCCTTCTTCTTCTTCACGATGCAATTATGACGTCTTCTTGAATTTTAGAGGGGAAGACACTCACAGTGATTTTGTGAACCATCTTTATATGGCTCTGCAACATAAAGGAATTTACACCTTCAAAGATGATGAGAAGCTTAAGAAAGGAAACTCAATTTCTTCAGAACTCCTCAACGCAATCAAGGAATCGAAATTTGCAATCATCGTATTTTCAAAAAATTATGCAACCTCTTCGTGGTGTTTAGATGAACTCGTAGAGATCATTGAATGCAAGAATACAGTGGGACAGACAGTTTTGCCCGTCTTCTACAACGTCGATCCTTCACATGTAAGGAAACAAAAGGGAAGTTTTGCAAAAGCATTTGTCAAGCATGAAGAAACTATTAAGGAAGACAAAGAGAAGGTTAAAAGGTGGAGGGCAGCATTGACGGAGGCAGCAAACTTAAGCGGGTGGGATTTAAACAATATCACAAATGGGTAATATTCAACTCATCTAAGTTTATTATGCTTTTATTAGTATCAAATACGGAGTATGTGCAATAGAACCCACACCCAATGGGTTTTATTAGTCTCAAGTTCGATTCTCCATAGGTGTGAGTGATTTCTTTGCTCACAACTGCGGATATAGTCCGAGTTTTACCCATTTCATGTGGGGGTCATCTGGTCCCGTGAATTAGTAGGGGCAAAGCTCCGGACACCCTGGTTATCAAAAAAAAATACCTGCAATAGAACCCCAATGGGTTGGTCGAGTGGAAAAGACTTGGTCCCTAGAGCCTAATTAAGCTTTAGGTCTCAAGTTCGAGTCCCCTCAAGTGCGAGCAATTCCTTGGGGCCATAACCGCAGAAATAGTCCAAATTTTACCCTATCCGCGTAGGGAGTCTTCTTGCACGGGTCCTATGAATTAGTCGGGGCAAAGCCTCGGATACCCCGATTATAAAAAATAAATAAAGAAGGAAAGAAAAATATGTGCAATAGCTAAGGGACTTCAGCATAATTTATTAGAATGAAACATGTTGCACAATATATATCATCAAATAGCATTCTTTTTTTATTGAGAAAAATTGCACAATAGCCTATACTATATATTTTCCCCGGTAGATAACACTCATTTTTGCTCTGTGGTAACTTAAAGTCTCTAGCTCTCCCTTTCTGAGGATGGGAGATATCACAAGACTCTGACTCAACAACCATTTCGATATATTTTAGTTCCAACTAGCTCTCGCTTTTTGAGGAAAGGAGATACCACTAGACTGTGACTCAATAGCCTTTTCAATATATTTTAGTTCCAAGCAAGTGTTTTAGTTTTTTATTGAATTGATAGGCTAGCTGTGGTTTTATTATTCACACTCAATTTCTTACCACTTCATTTCTCATTTTTCTTTTTATGCCAAATTATAACCAAACTAGTCTGATTAACATTGAAAATAATTCAAAACTATTTAGAGTTATTATTAAGTATTAGAATTTCACTTACGAAAATGGACAAAAAAAAAAAATGTTCATTCAATATTTGTGGCTGTTTTTGGACTAAGACCACCCCTTGCACCTACATAGAATTTTATATAAATCATGACTTTAGTTGTAGTTTTATAACCAGATAGTATAGTTATCGACATTTTATAACCATCATATAGTTATTAAGATTTTAAGATGAATTAATCTATTTCTACCAATTTAGTTTATGAATTTAGTTGTTTATTATTATTTTCCCATATATGGTATATGTTATAATTCACAGAACTATTCTTTCATTTTTCTTTGACAATAATTGAAAGAAGTATAAATTATAGTAAATTCAAATATTTTTTTCTTCTCTCGTAGTACAATTAAACCTGCTAGATCTTTCTAATGTGCTTTGTATTTGATAGGCATGAGGCAAAGTTTATCCAAAAAATTGTTCAAGAGATTATAAAAGAATTGGGGCATATACCATTAAATGTGGCTACGTACCAAGTAGGGATAGATTCCCGTGTAAACAAAGTGATCACTTTGCTAGACAATGGGTTAAATGATGTGTGCATTGTGGGGATTTGTGGTGCTGGTGGAATAGGAAAGACAACCATATCAAAAGCTGTCTTCAATCGAATATATAATCAATTTGAAAGTTGTTGTTTCCTCAGCAATGTGAAAGAAGTTTCAGAACAACATGGCCTAACTTATCTCCAAAAACAACTCTTGATTGACATTCTTATGGAAGAAGATCTAAAGATACGTAACGTTGATTATGGGATCAACGTGATGAAGAAAAGACTCCGTTATAAGAAAGTTCTTGTAGTTCTTGATGACGTGGATAGTTTAAAGCAATTAGAGAGTTTAGTGGGAGGAAATGACTGGTTTGGCTCTGGAAGTAGGATCATTGTAACAACCAGAAATGAACGTTTATTGGTGGAGCATAAAGTAGATCATGAAATGTTCAGGGTTGAGTTATTGAATGACGATGAAGCTCTTGAACTTTTTAGTTGGTATGCTTTTGCTAACATCGATCCTTTGGAGGATTATGTGGAACTCTCACTGCGTGTAATAAATTATGCCCAAGGCCTTCCATTAGCTCTTCAAGTTTTAGGTTCATTTTTATTTAAAAAAAGTATAAATGAGTGGGAACATGAACTGGATAATTGGAAAAGAATTCCAAATAGAGAGATTTACGATGTTCTCAAGATAAGTTTTGATGGCCTTTATGATACAGAGAAAGATTTATTCCTCGACGTCGCTTGTTTTTTCAAAGGGTATGATAAAGATTATGTCATGGATATATTGGGCAGTAATGGGTTTCACCCACGAATTTCAGTTCTTATTGAACGGTCATTGATAACTATCTCCGACAACAATAGCTTGTGCATGCATGATTTGATACAAGAAATGGGTAAAGAAATTGTTCGTCGAGAATCACCTGATGATCCTGGAAAACGTAGTAGGTTGTGGTTTTACGAGGATGTCTATAAAGTACTCAGAGAAAATACGGTACGTTCTAACTCCATATAAGTTTATTTTCACATTCAAACTAGTAGTGCAAAAAATATGGTTTGCTTTATCTTTTTCCATATAAACAGCCGTAAACTTTCATAATTTTAAGGTTCAAACACTATGTAGTAACTTACATGATTTTTTTGCTAATCAGGTGACCGAAACAATTAACGGCATTATGCTAAACATGCCTTATGGTCATCTACCAGAGGAATTACATGTAAATGTCAATGTCTTTGAGAAGATGAAGAAACTTAAAGTACTTAAACTCAGTGGGACAAGACCTTGTGGACTCCTTTCATATCTTTCAAATGAATTATGTTATCTCGATTGGGATGATTACCCGGCAAAGTTTTTGCCATCCAATTTCCATCCAAGAAATCTTGTTCAACTTCGCCTTTGTCGTAACCATATCAAAGGAATTTCATCAGTTATCAAGGTAAGAACACAATTTATTTACACAATTATTTTAAAAAGAATAATAGAGGTTTATTAAACTAAAATCATTCATTGCTTATTTTTTAACAGTTTCTAGAGTTAAAATTCCTTGATGTCAGTCACTCCCTATATTTGGATAAAACTCCTGATTTTTCGAATCTCCCGTGTCTCGAGAAATTAAATCTTGAAGGATGTACTAACCTTATTGAGGTTCACGAGTCGATTGGAGTTCACAAGAGACTTGTTAGATTGCGTCTCAAGAATTGTAAAAATCTGAGTCGTCTCCCGATAAGCATCAAGTTGGAAAAGCTGGAAACTTTGAATCTATCAGGATGCCTAAAACTTGAGAAGTTTCCAGAGGTTCAAGGGCCTATGGATCGTTTGTGGTATCTTTGTTTGAAAGAAACTGCAATAAAGGATTTGCCTGCATCGATTGAGCATCTTGAAGGGCTTAAGATTGTATCTGTAAAGAATTGCCGGAAGCTTAAAAGTATTCCAAGCAACATTTTTTCAAGAATGAAGAATTTAATATCCGTTCATATGGGAGGAACTGCTATAGAACAATTACCATTATCCATTGTGCAGTTGTCTAAACTTGGTAACCTTAATCTAAATGATTTGCAAAAATCGTCTCCCAAAATGCCAAAATCATTGATGCCATTTTCATTGGTGCGAAGGAAAACTCTTGTGTCTTCAACTTATTTGCAATTGGACCTGCTCTCCAGATTGAGCACTTTAGGTCATTTAGATCTGAGGAACTGCAATTTATCAGAAGAATCCTTTCCCAAGGATATTGGCTGCCTATCTGGTACTGTGGAATTGTTAAACCTGAGTGACAACAATTTCTCTAGCATGCCACAAAGCCTAGTTCAATTCACAAATCTGAATTCCCTTGTTTTGGAGCATTGCACAAGCCTCAGAATGTTGACTTCACTTCCGTCATCTATTGATTATGTGAATGCACATGGCTGCAAATCATTGGAACGGTATTGGATTCCACCAAATGCAAGTGGTTCAAATAATTGCCGATTCAGATTCACTGAGTGCCACAAATTGGTTATGGATCATATTGATAACATGCCAAATATATCATCACAAACTCAGCTTCAGGTTAGTTAATTTCCCTCTCTCCCCCTCTCTTTCTATATGTATTCAAAACTGATCAAAAATTGAGGATCTGCATTTTGTGCGTGCATGGAACAGGGATTTCTTTATATCATTGTTCCCGGAAGTGAGATACCGCAATGGTTTAGGCATAAGAGTGAAGGTGAGGGATGTTCATCAGCGTCTTTTGTGGTGGATCATCATCTATCTCCTTACAATAACATCAAAGGAATTGCCATTTGTGCTGCTTTGGAATATCTTGGAGTTGACTCAAGGATTCAATTTGATCTCAAAATCAACGGTTATGGCGCGGACTGTTGGTATCGAAATTACCCAAAAGAAGGGGAGCAGGAGCTTTTGTCAGATCACGTCATTGTGACGAACATAACGGAATATTACGTTGGGTTGTTGTCTAGAGACAAACAACCAATTAAAAATTTGATGAAGAAGAGACCAAAGCTCAACCCAGGCCCTCCCAATAATTGTGATGATTCCTCTTTCATTCAGGTTTCAGTTAAATTCTTTGGTCGCCCTTATGATCCCTACACTGGACCAAAAGTCAAGAAATTGGGTATCCATCTAGTAATGGAAGACCAAGCTGATGGTGAGTAGACCCACCAATATATATGTATATTGTGTATATATGATAGACTTAAATACAAGTAAGGAAGTTCAAATATTCAATAATATGATAGTTTCATCTTTCTCTTTAATTTGTGTAAAATTGAAATTGAACTTTGAATGTGTAGTAGCATACATCAATTGTATGTGAGCTGTAAGCGCTCTTGTTGGGCTTGTCGAGTATCGAACTGAAAAGGTTAACCTATAAGGTGGAGTGACTCTTACCTCATATAAGTACCAAATTTCCTTCTTTTCTAACTGATGTGGGACTGTTCAAGTACTCAACATATTTTACTCTCGAAGGTTTTTTTAGTATTAATTATCTTCTAGTCACGGTATTTGAAATTTCAGGGTTTATTGACTTGGCTATAAAGAAGAACAGTTTGCTTGGTGGAGATGACTTTAAGAGGAAGTCTGTGCTAGTTGATTTCCTTGTTTGAGATAGTGTTCTAGCAGAACCTAGTGGCAATTTGGTTTCGCAGGGACAGGAGCAAAATGACTTGGATAATATACTGGTCTCTTTCATATAGGAGGTATATTTGAAGGGGTAACACTTGACTGGTTGTGTGGCTCATAGGAAAAGGGTTGGTGAGGATAGTTTCTAGCTAATTTCAAGTTGAGGGTTTTTCTGATTTTAGTTTCAGCAGGCAATACTTTAATTACAACTTTGTAAATTGTCGATTCATATTTACTGGAAAAAAGAAAAAAAGGTATCAAATTTTCATGAACAGTGGCAAAATGGTTGATTAACCCTCTGCAATGACTTGATGAGTGCTGCTTCTTTATTTTGTGTATATTTTCTCAAATGTACTATGTTCGAAAGTTTTGAAAACTTTATGTACAATAGTACTTGGAACACTATAAGTTAGCATGTTTTGGAGTGTTATAAATGAAATTTTCTTTAATTTTAAATTTTTTTTTTCATAGTATTAAGACATGTTAATTATGAAATTTCAAGATATTTGAAAACATGTTCTCTGTTTCTTTTAAGAGTTCAAATTTTACCAGGCGTGCTATCGAATTTTGACAAATCAATCTTGTAAATCGAAATGACTTGCAAAAACATTTTCATTACAGTCGAGATTCCAATAAAAGGGTGTTAGTTTTCTTAAATACTAAATTATTAGTTTGTTTTAAAATGTTGACTATAAATTTTGAATGACTACTAATTGAAATAACAAATAAAATCACCTTAATTTAACTTTAAACCCTTAATGACCACTGTTTTTGGCTACACCACAACCTTTTAATGAAAAACCTCTACATTTTTTTTTTATTAATTTGTAATTGTAGTTGCTACTCTCATGTTATTTTAATAGATTATTAGAAATTTGAATATCTAGCTTGTTATATACATATGTCTCTCTCTGTGCTGGGTTTTCAAGATTGAAACACAGAGATTTTGATCTTCAGAGTGCTGTATAGGAGTGACGTTTGACTAAGGGAGATTGGACCACATATTAAAATCCAACCAAAAAGGCCCAACCATCCATATATTTCTTGTCTTTAAAGATTTCTGAGTTTCATTACCAAATCTTTCTTCAGCTGCCTAATTTGACCCACCGGCACCTTCCTCACAGTATAGACTTAAGATCCAACCACTTACATTAAAGATATCATAAGCCTTGTAAGCTCTCTCTATTAATGGTTCATTTTATAATATTTTGAACAGATTCGATTATCGTGATATCACTTTAATATTGACAACGTGAAAATATAATTTGTGCATTATTTTCTTTACTCAAAGTATCTTAATTTAACCGCTTCAATGAGCATTGTACAAAGATTATATAGTTAAAATGTTGTTTCCAAATTAATTTACAGTAGATTACACGAATCGGTAAAGTTTTACTCTCTCTTTCGACCAAATTACACTATTAACTTTCACCGTTGCCTATAATTTTATTAACTTGACCATCTCCTATAATTTCATTTTATGGTTTGATTCTATCATGACATGACTTTAATATTGGCAACATGATGATATGATTTGTGGATTAGTTTCTTTACTAAAAATATTCTAATTCAAAAGAGAACTCATAAGGAGCTTGTTGGGTTTGTGGCTCAAATTGAGTACAAAAATTAATTTCCTTTTCTGTTTTGGACTGTCGAAATTTGTGAAGGAAATTGTGTCCCATCAAGTTTCTATTTTAGAGTTGGGATTGATATGATAACTCCTTATAGACAAGTTGGGGAATACTTGTTCAATAAGGATTTGGGTTTGAAGACTCTATAAATAAATATGGGTACGAGAGAGAAAAAATTGTAGTGGAAAAAGAGAGTTGGATTGTGAGAGAAAAAAGTGTGTAACCAAGTTTTTGAAGTAAAGTTAGCCTAAACCACGTAAATCTCTGATTTTTTTCTTGGGTGTGATTTTTTTTTTTTTTTTTTATGTGTTATATTTGTCAGTTATGTGTGTGAAACCTTAACAATAGTACCATTGCTCTAAAGCATACTTTCTACTTTTGTCAAAAGAGAGTTTTCTTGATTGTCTTATTGGGAAAGTGATACAATAACTTTTTATTTTATTTTATTTTTTCTTCTAAAAAAGAATTTTGAACTGATTCATTTATCGTGATATCACTTTAATATTTTGAACTGATTCGTTTATCGTGATATCACTTTAATATTGACAATGTGAAAATATAATTTGTGGCATTATTTTCTTTACTTAAATTATCTTAATTTAACCGCTTCAATGAGCATTCTACAAAGATTGTATAGTTAAAATGTTGTTTCAAAAGTAATTTACAGTAGATTACACGAATTGGTAAAGTTTTACACTCTTTCTTTTCACCAAATTACACTATTAACTTTCACCGTCACCTATAATTTTGTTAACTTGACCATCTCCTATAAATTTCATTTTATGGTTTGTGTCACGCCCCAAAATTCTAATACAAAAACCCTTGTCTTATACTAAAATCTAGTATGTGTCTCACATCATACATTCACCACAATCCATGATTAAATCAGTAAGAATACATTTTATTTAAAAAGCCATTAATCCAACGGAAATCTATTACATCCCCAACTAATTAAAATTGCCCCAACTAAGTGAATCTCATTACAAAGTGTTTGCTAAGAAACAATAATAAAACCAAAATGTAGAAAATTCGAAAAATCTCCATCTCCCATTAAGCCTCCTTTGCAAGCTAAATCCATGTGTACCTGAAAGTGATAAAGGGGTGAGCTCACAAGTTCAGCAAGAAATTGCTAAACACTATCATCATTCAACAAGTCAATCCTTACTTATAATCCATATATATATATATATATATATATTCATCTATAAGTGACCACAAAATATCTACAAATCATCATCATTCTATAACATTAACTCAAACTAATAACTTATAACCCATCTAATTATAAATTACTAAAAATTTCACTTACCTCACATGAGTCCCTGACTCCCCTCAACTAGTTAGCGTTCTAATGCCATTACCTCACATGAGTCCCTAGTTCCACTCCAAATAAATGGTGTGAATTGCATAGTCCCTGACTACCAAATACACACATGTGGCTGGGTTGTACGTCTACTCACCCAAATGACCCCTGACCACGTCCACATTCTAAGGATACCTTTAGCCCAATGGCCATAACAAAAGAATAATTCATTCCTGTAGATAGTCCCTGATTACGCTCAACAAACTCATCATTGGGTAAGTCCTAGACTACTGTTCCAATTAGTTTACTCACTTCAATTAAACACTAAATACATTTAAATAATTCATACTCATAATATCACGAGTTTATCAAACACCTTAATTAAATTAACTAAAAAATAATAATTAACATAATTAATAGGTACTAACAGCCATAACCTGTGATATTTTTGATTTTCGCAATTTTTCATTTTTCAGAATTTTTTGTTTTTGCAAGGGCATTTCTGTCCTTTCCCATTTTGCGTGTCGGACACCGTGGGGTGTGCCGGGTGTGTCTGAGAGTTAGTTGGGACATTTCCTTGAGTTCAGGACGCTTGGAAATGCACCGGTTGCCATTTCAGCATTTTAATTTGGTTTTTGGACCTGACGATCCCGTGTGGGACCCACTACCGGAATTGTCGCGTACGGGGTTTTAATTGGCTCCAATTGCATGTCATTTATTTTTACTTGATGTGTTTTATATGGTTCTATTGTGGTTGTGTGCATGTGTATGTGTGTGTGGTAGTAAACTTAAAAAAAATAAATAAATAAAAATAAAAAATCTTTGGTTGTGGGACGCACCACCACAAAATCTTTTGATTTGTGACCAAGAGGCCACACTTTGGCCTCATTGTCTCTCTCTTCTCCTGGCGCTCTCTCATTTCGTTCTCTTTTTATTTTTCTTTTTCTTCTCAAATTTCAAACTACAATTGCTCTTCAACCGGTGAGAATTTTTGAGTGCCGTTTGGGGCAAAACAGAGAGCACAGTGAGATCTACAAGTTGATATAAGCAATTTGCACTTTTGGCCCCTATGAATTTCAAATTTTTGGACCTATTTGGGGATTTTTGCATCTAATTGAGGTAGGGGTGTTTAATTCACAATTTTCTTGCTCCTTTGTGAATTATTTTCTTTAAGTTGTTGTCTTGCATGCTATATTGTATTGATTTCCTCTAATATGATTACTTTGTTGTAAATGGAGTATATAATTATGTGCTTTAGTTGCTATTACATGGACTAGCATGCTTGTATGACGAAGAATTCATGTCTTATATGCTTATTTGGTTAAATTATTGTTGAATGGAGACATGTTGTATTTCTTTGGATTATTTTGTAAAGCTTGCTAAGTGTTTAAGTGTGAAGTAGTTGTAGAATGATAAGTACTGGCATGGCATGAATTGACATGATGCATTTTTTGCATAAACATTGAGAAGAAATGGGAACCTGATTTTGAAAAAAAAAAAAAAAAAAAGGATTGATTTGGAACGGACGAAAAAAAAAAAAAAAAAAAAAAAAAAAAAAAAAAAGACTTTGGGGAAAGTTTTGATTAAAAAAAGGTTTTTGAGAAAACCCGAACGCCGAGGAGGTACCGAAGGTCCGTGGCGTTAATATAATCTAGAGGGAATTAGGGAAATCACTCTAGCGTGGTTGAGCTATCTGGGCCTCAAATGACGCTGCGGAGTTACCAAAGGTCATGGATAGTAGTCAATCCTTCTCTCGTGTCACTGAGGAGTCACCAAAGAACGGGTTATATTAACGGTTTTGGAAATGATAACAGAAATGGTTTTGAAAAATGAGAAAATGACATTGCATGACATTGCATCCTATTTCACGGCATTTGTATTCATGATTTGGATTTATTGGTTTTACTATGTGGTTACATTCTTCCCGACCTAACATGATCCCGACTACTCTATTTTCCCTTCATTGTATGGATTCACGGGGTCTCAAAATGTGTGCCTTAGGGACCTACTGAGCAATTTGCTCACCCCTTATATTTAACATTTTCAGGTCACGGAAAGGAGTTAGCGGATGACAATCCACCATAAATTTGAAGGGGCTAGAAGTTCACTATTGCTATCTTTTGTGTATTGAGCATTTCTTTTGTAAAAGTATCATCTTAAAATGTATCAAGTTATAAAACATGGCATTGTAATGTAATTTTTGCACCCTTGATAGTATCTTGTTATAAATTGTAACAAGTGGAAGAACTATGTTTTGATATACAAAATGAATGGGAAATGTTGTAACAACATGATGAATCGTCGATGCTTTTAATTATAGTATGAAGTATCACTTTTA